TTTTACTCACCCATCGGAGATTCTTGATATACTCCCCTTGAAGACGACACTCTACAGCTTCCCTAATAAGATTTTCACTCACTATCCCCATGAAGTATGCATTCTCCTACTAAGTGATGGATGCTCTCTCTCTCTCTCTCTCTCTCTCTCTCTCTCTCTCTCTCTCTCTCTCTCTCTCTCTCTCTCTCTCTCTCTCTCTCTCTCTCTCTCTCTCTCTCTCTCTCTTCAATGTGGCTTGCCTATATAAGAGTTCTTAAAAAGACTCACATTTATCTACGGGAGATTCTGGTTTGATATCCTCGTGAGGATGGCCATCATCCGCAATGAAGTGATTTTTGCTCCCTAGTACAAAAAAATCCTTGACGGCTTGAATCTTGCAGAGATGGCTACACCCAGTGCAATGGGTATTGTTGATCTCATCATCTAAATTTTTTGGCTCCCCAGTGTAAGAGGTAGTCTTTATCCCTAGTCGAAGTCGAATTTCGAGGACCTATTGGAGTAACTTATCTATTATCCTCTGGTGGAGCAATCTTTCTTTCTCTAGTTGAGCAAGTGTCCTGTCTCCCCAATGTGGTGTACATGGGAGTGCCAGTCATAGCTCTTTCACCCCTGATTATAGATGATTTTGTCGGGATATCACTAGTGGAGTTTTTTTCCCAAGATATTTTCTTCTTCCCCAAGTGAATACTTTTTACCCCCCCCCCCCCCCCCCCCCCCCCCCCGACGATGTTATCCCCAGTGTGCTCTGAGTAGAATTCTTTTTATTTAAGAATTTCCATACTCCCCAGTAGAAGTTGTCTTCGTCAAGAAATCTTATGCAAGAAAGTTTCTATCCCAGCGAAGCTCTCCTCTTTTTAACAAGAGGATAAAGAATTTGTTCCCCCAGGAAGTTGGGAGTTTGATCAGAATTCAAGATTTTCTCTGAACTGCAATTTATTTTGCAGTATCTTCTCCAGGAAGTTACTTCCCTAATGATATTCGATCTTTAGAGGTTGGTGGTTCAAAGTCTCGGTGCCCCATTGAAGTTCAGATTTCCTTTTCTCTACAGAAGATCACATGCGCGAGAATAATCGTTCAGAAGTTCATTGTCTTCTCAACATGATAATTATTGATGTGTTTTCTCCAAGGCATTGCTAAAACATGCATCATTACATTGCATCTACCAAAATGCGTAGCATTTCCATTGTGTGAAGCATTACGCTACAAAAGATTCAAACATGCATAAGTATAAGCCAATTGTGTTTACTTGCAGTAACCAGATTGTTATGCACTTAGATTTGAATTATCTCCACAGCAAGCCCAGGGTGACCCTATTCTGCTTCCCCAACGGAATCTGTTTGATTTTCCACCATTCGGGTCATCGGTATCTTCCATTCCCCAGTAAGTCGTGGTTTTCTCTTTCCCTTGCAAGCCTTTGATTATTTTACCCGTGTTTTCTCTGACCGTCAGAGTGCAAGTCAGAGTCAGTTTATAGATTTTCTAATTTCTCAAGTATTAGAGTATCCATACTTGGTGTATGGTAATTCATATAATTGCCACTCTTGAAGAATTACACCCCGCCTTTGACCTGAGGAATTTTGTAGTTCTTGCGTATTTCCAACTATTAAAGTCGGACATGTGTTGGAAATCCTTTTTTAGGGTCCTTACAACTGGTCTCTTTTCTAATCATAAGGTTCGTCTTCGCCTGACGTTCTCTTTTCTCCGGAATTCACCTTTGCCCGATGTCTTTCCGTCTTAGGTCCACCTTCGCCCGATGTCTTTCCGTCTTAGGTCCACCTTCGCCTGGTGTCCCTTTTTGTTGGTTAGGGTTCGTCTTCGCCCGACGTTCTCTCTTCTCTGGAATTCACCTTCTCCTGGTGTCTTCCCATCTTAGGTCCACCTTCGTCTGGTGTCCCTTTTTGTTGGTTAAGGTTCGTCTTCGTCCGACGTCTCTTTTCTCCGGTAAGTTCACCTTCGCCCGGTGGCTTCCCATCTTAGGTCCACCTTCGCCTGGTGTCCCTTTTTGTTGGTTGAGGTTCGTCGTCGCTCGACGTCTCTTTCCTCCGGTAAGTTCACCTTTGCCTGGTGGCTTCCCATCTTAGGTCCACCTTCGCCCGGTGTCCCTTTTCGTTTGTTAAGGTTCGTCTTCTCCCGACGTCTCTTTTCTCCAGAATTCACCTTCGCCCGGTGTCTTTTCGTCTTAGGTCCACCTCCGCCCGGTGTCCCTTTTTGTTTGTTAGGGTTAGTCTTCACCCAACGTTCTCTCTTCTCTGGAATTCACCTTCTTCGGGTGTCTTCCCATCTTAGGTCCACCTTCGCCCGGTGTCCCTTTTTGTTGGTTAAGGTTCGTCTTCGTCCGACGTCTCTTTTCTCCGGTAAGTTCACCTTCGCTCGGTGGCTTCCCATCATAGGTCCATCTTCGCCCGGTGTCCTTTTTTGTTGGTTGAGGTTCGTCTTTGCCCAACGTCTCTTTCCTCCGGTAAGTTCACCTTTTCCCGGTGGCTTCCCATCTTAGGTCCACCTTCGCCCGGTGTCCCTTTTTGTTGGTTAAGGCTCGTCTTCGCCCGACTTCTCTTTTCTCCAGTAAGTTCACCTTCGCCCGGTGGCTTCCCATCTTAGTTCCACCTTTGCTCGGTGTCCCTTTTTGTTGGTTAAGGTTCGTCTTCGCCCGACTTTCTCTTTTCTTTGGAGTTCACCTTCGCCCGGTGTCTTTCCAGTTTAGGTTCACCTTCACACGGTGTCCCTTCTTGTTGGTTAAGGTTCGTCTTTTCCCGACATTCTCTTTTCTTTGGTAAGTTCATCTTCGCCCGATGTTTTTCCATTTTAGGTCCACCTTTGCCCGTTGTCCCTTTTTGTTGGTTAAGGTTCGTCTTTGTCCGACGTTCTTTTTTCTCTGGAATTCACCTTCACCCGGTGTCTTTCCGTCTTAGGTCCACCTTCGTCTTGTGTCCCTTTTTGTTGGTTAAGGTTCGCCTTTGCCCGACGTTCTCTTTTCTCCAGAATTCACCTTCGCCTGGTGTCTTTTCGTCTTAGGTACATCTTCGCCTGGTGTTCCTTTTTGTTGGTTAAGGTTCATCTTCGCCCGACGTTCTCTTTTCTCCAGAATTCACCTTCGCCCGGTGTCTTTCCATCTTAGGTCCACCTTCGCACGGTGTCCCTTTTTATTGGTTAAGGTTCGTCTTCGCCCGACGTTCTCTTTTCTCTGGAATTCACCTTCGCCCGGTGCCTTTCTGTGTTTGGTCCACCTTTGTTCGATGTCCCTTTTTGTTGGTTAAGGTTCGTCTTTGCCCGATGTCCTCTCCCCTCTAGTAAGTTCATCTTCATTTGGCGTTCTTTCTTCAGGAGTCTATATGTGGTTGGTATTCCTTGATATATCTGGTCGAGATCACTTTGTTAGATCTCTTCCATCTCTGATATCTTCGGTCGAGTCTGTTGTGTTAGGTCTCTTCCTTCTTTGATATCTTTGGTTGAAATCGTTGCGTTAGATTTCTTCCTTCCTTGATATATCTGGTCGAGATCACTTTGTTAGATCTCTTCCATCTTAGGTATCCTCCTTATGTACACTACTAACTCCGAACAGATGTTCCTTGATAACCAAATTCTCTTCTGTGTGTTTAACCCTAGTCTGGCATACATTTACCCCCGATAACCCCTTTTACCCAAAAAGCAAAAAAAAAAAATACAGAAAACCAAAAAATATAATGTATACCTTATTGGCTTTGGAGTGCAAATTTATGGGTTCTTTTAGTATTTAATCTTCTTCCACCTTGAAAGTTTGAAAGGCTAGCACCAATCTCACCTTCAGGTTTAAGACGATTAAATAGGGGAAATTGTTACACCCAAAAATTTACCCCCCTCCTAATTTCTTTTATCTGGCTTAGACTTTTGCGTTCATTCGCATTCGCATCTTTAGGTCACTAACATGGCATACATTTCATTAAATATAGCTCTTTGGTTCAAAGTTCAATGGTTGTGCAATATAAAGGTTTTACACTGGTCAAGGCGTTCGTGTCCAATAAAGGCTTATTTCTTCTTCAAACATTGAGCAGTGGAATTAGGGTTGTGGTCTGTGGTCATTAAGAATCTCTTCTTCACGAATCCATAAGGCCAATCTCCACCCAGTTTTCTCAATTCCAGAAATTAGGATTTCTATCATATGGACGTCTTGCTATGCTTCCAGTTTCATCTGAGTCGAGGAATTTCCTCAAGGAAGGGTCTGGCTCCAACTTAAGGCTTAAAGACTCAAAGATCATGGAATTAGGGCTTATTTCTCTAATCATGTGGTAGTCAAAAGATTTCCTTATAAAGTTTGGGTTCATTAATGAATCTCATCATTCAATGGATATTTCTCATTGCTCGAGTGGATTTTAGGGTCTTATGGGTTGACTATTACCATCATGCTGGTTCATCTCATTAGGATTTCGTTTGGACTTTCTACCATTAATTGAGGTTTGGTTCACCTTTACTCGAGTTATAAGATTTGTATTGTGGATTTCGTGCAAACAGTGAATATGAGTTCACATGGTGTTATTATTGAATCATCTCAAGTTTGAAAGATTGGCCAAAACTTTGATTTTTGGTCAAAGTCAACCATGGAAGGTTGACTTTTGACAAGGTCCTTCTTAAATATTTGTGAGGCCTTCATCTAGTGGTTCATTCAATTATAGCAAGATTGAAGAAAGATTGGAGAATTCACATGAAATACAAATTGAAAAGGGTTGATATTCAATATTCAAAAGATACAAAGGAGGGAAACTATTTTATCAAATTCATTTGGAAAAGCTTCATTACAAAAAGTCAACATACAAATTACAAGAGTCAAGATTTACTTCAATTATCATTTATAATTTAAAAAGTTACATTCCATGCTCTACATTAGTCATCAAAATACAATTGCATCACAAGATGCTACATTCAAGATTGAAGTATACATCTCGTTCATTAAAGATTTAAGGAAAGACTTTGAAAATTCAAATAAGGAGATATCATCCGCGAGAAAGGATAAAATCTTGATACACAGGTTATAGAAAATGGAGACAATTGGAGTGTAGGACGACAATAACTTGTTTCTCTTGGTTGAGTTCTATTAAAGTAGTTAAAAAACTTGTACTTGATGAAGCAATAACATTTGTCGACACCGCCACTGATAGTCTTATCCAGATGATTATTCGAATCTTATCCAGATGATTATTCGAAGAGTTTAAAGCCTGCATTATGCTCACCATTGCACATCGTATCCCTACTGTTATTGACAGCGGTCGAGTTCTGGTGCTCAATGATGGTCGAGTTGCTGAGTTTGACACTCCTTTATGGCTATTAGAAGATAAGTCATCCATGCTTCTAAAGTTGGTATCTGAGTATTCATAGCGGTCGAGCAGCATACCTAAATTTTAGATCAGATAAGGTGTCTAGAAACCTTAATAATCAGTATCGGGAGGTGGCGAGAGTTTGAAGACAGTTCAGAAGCCAAAACCAAAATAGATTGCCAGACCTGCAGTAACTAAAGAGGCATCATTCTTTTGGATCATGTGTTAAACTCCTAAAAAGGGTTCACCTAATTGCTACTATACCAAACCAGATAAACCAATTAAAAACTAGTAAAGACTTACCCTATATCAAGTTAACTCGCAGTTGCTACCAACACCAAGGCCTATTCCATAAAATAATCCAAAAGTTAGATGAAACTGAAATGAGAAAGGAAATTGTAAATAGGAAATAGAATAAACAGAAAGAATGGCTACTGCTTCTTCAAAATGATGGTTTTCTCTTGAAGTTAAATTTGATGTCATGAACCAATGTCTTTCTGGTCTTGTTCTTCCGGAGGATCAAGCTAGGTGCGATGAAGTTTATGGATTGGATGAAGAGCTTTTGGAAATGGTTCCAAAACCAGTTCTTGTTGTGTTTTTTCTTTATCTTCTCGCCAATAAGTCTGAACAGGAGAGGTTACAACAGAATAAGAAGAAAAATCAGAAATCAAAAATAATAAGCCAACTCAATAAAACAGAGGGAATAATCTGAAAATATAAAGGAAAATATCGTGGGAAATAGATGGGAAAAATTAGGAAATTCAAACTGAATTGCCAACTCAGCTTATAAAAAAATTTCAAATAAATCTCAGCTTTTCAATTCTTGTAACTAACTGTTAGAATTAGCAGTTCATATTCAATTGCCTTGTAACACACTTTTCAAGATCTAACGGAGATATATAACAGAATTGTCACCTGGGTTCAATCATTCTTCAACATTCTGAAGAATCATAGAAAGGAGACACTTTTTCTTCTCACAATCTTTATTCTCCATCTTCATCTTCATCTACCAGAAAATCAAGAAATTCGCTTTGCTCTTTTTTCGCCATAACTGCATCTTCATCATCACCGAAATTTGTAGGCTTCCTCTGAAATTATCTCTGCTCTGAAGCCGCATCCTCGTCTCAAGGCTCCTCAACATCGCTTCTAATTCGACTACCAATGTCTTCACATAGCGATTTATTTTGAAAATCGTTCATCAACCTTCAAAGATCTTCGTCGATGAATCTGCAACCCTCACTGTCTTCAGGCCTCTTCCGCATCAAGCTACGCAACGCACCAAAATTGAGGATTATCTCGTTTGATTCCCAGCTTCCACAACAACGAAGATGCAACAGTAATTGAAACAGAACAGTATAGAAACGGAGAGAAGAAAGAGTGTAGAGAGACTGAAGATTCATACCTATGGGTTTATGTTTGTTGACGCCGTCAAGATGGCATCTGACTTCCTCCAGTCAGTAAGGTTCGATCTTCGATATGCCTTCGCTTCTTCTGTCTATTTCTTCATGATTATGGCGTAGCGCGAGTATACTGGAGTTGGATCCCCAAAGTCCAGAGTTTCAATTTGACGTGGGGAGGATGTGACTCAGCTTTTAGGTTTTTAGATCTTCAGAGCTTGTGATTCAAAGAGGATATGAATACCGAAATCACGGATGGAGGAGAGAGTCTCACGAAACAGATATGGAGTGTGGAGTTGAATCGCAACTGAGGAAGATGGAACCACGGAGGAGATTGAGAGTGACACAGAGAAGATTCGACTGCCATAGTTGCAAGATTGAGAAAGACGAAGAGAATTCTATTCTCATGAGACGCAAAGAGACACAAATTTGTGAACCTTGTCCCAACAAAACACCATCGTTTCATTTGCAATCTTTTTTTTTATTTTGCCTTAATTTTAATAACCAGCAAATATTGAGCAAAGTGAAAGAATTGTGGAAATTGGGCGGGTTGAGGTGGATTCCATTTGGACCATTACTGACCTGCCTGCGGATCATTGTTGGACTCATACTACTGGACTTGTCTTGTTGAGCCGGGCAAAACTGCACTCATCATAAGGCCCAGCGTGAATTTTTGGAACTGGAGAGCTTGCAAAAAAAAAACAGCATGTTAGCTTGTATTACAAAAAAAACTGCTTTTTTGGGCTTCTCTTCAACGGGCCTGCAGCGCCCAGATTGTTTCAGCACCCCCTGACTGCAGCATAACCCCCTAAGTTTACTCTTTCAATATTTCCTTTTGAATAATTTTGTGAATTGTTTTGATTTGCTTGAACTTTTTTCTTTTACATGATAAAAACAATAAAATCAATAAAAACTTATAGATTTTGTTATTTTAGTTTTAGGAAATTAAATTCCGATTGTTCGGTTATATTTGAGATTGGTAATTCACCTTTGCTTGTTGAGATGGAAATCTTATGCAGGTTTATTATATGGTATGCGGATGCGCTTGAGATTTCGATTGTGATTTATTTTCACATCGATGATGCTTCAACGCTTATTCCGAACTTTTGATTTCCGACTCTTTTCATTGATTGGTGAAGCTTTCGTGAAGATCGTCAGGTTTCTTTGTTTGGATACGCTTCGCTACGGATTGATATCAGTTTGGTATTTTCTCTTCTTTATCTCATTTCACACTTTACTTCTTTCTAGATATCATGAGAAGTAGGAAATAAAGAGCGTGCGCTCGAAGTCGCTGTTTAAAGACCTGTAGCAGGCATTCCGCACTTCATTTGTTATATATGTCGTGCTTGAGTTTGTTTCCTTGGTTGTTGATCGATGAGTCACTCAATTTAGAAATTGAGATCACGACTTCGCTCTCAGTGCATGCTCCATATAGGATTTCATCGCTTTCCTTGATTTCTTATTGATTGATGAGTCACTCAATTTAGAAATTGAGATCACGACTTCGCTCTCAGTGCATGCTTCCTATAGGATTTCTTCGCTTTCCTTGATTTCTTGTTGATCGATGAGTCAGTCAATTTAGAAATTGAGATCACGACTTCGCTCTCATTGCATGTTCCCTGTAGGATAGTCTTGTTAGACTTTCTTTGGCATGCTAACCTAGATAGGATATCTCTAGGTGTGTTCTCTTGAGTTTATTGGCTTGTTTGTTTGATTTCATCTTTGTGTGCATGTTTTGAGATGATATACCCCTAGCATGTTCCCTTAGGAGCTCTCGATTCGGCTATAGATGATGATTCGAGATAAATATAGTTTTAGGTGGTAGACCCCTGTTATGCTCCTTTAGAACTTCTTGATTCATCTATAGAGGATTAGTTGAGATAGACATTAGGATTGTTATCCAAGCATTCAATATAGGTTAGAGATTTCCCTTCAAAACACAACTTTAGGATCAATCATTGTATGATAACATTAGGGATAGATTTAGGTTAGTCTCCCTTACATGTTTTCTGTTCTTTTGCATCTTTGCATTTAAAACAAAAACTTCCTTTTTTCTCGAAAAATGCATAAAACATCTAACAACTTCTAAATCCTTCTTTAAAGTAAAAGGTATCAACCAATACAAACTCTTTTGCGCCTTCGGGCTTTTCTTTCAAACTTTTCAGAAAGAACATGTTAATACTTATGTGCTAACGCGTGAGTCTCCAAAGGTCGAGCTGCGACAGGAGGCGAAATTAATATTGTTCATGAAAAAATATAAACCAACAAAAACATTTGAAGCGGAACTACGGCTGCTCTGATTCCTTAAAAGAGATACGTAAGCATTGGGGTAGGGCCCGAGCGAGCACAACTTTTATTTTCCCTACATTTTTTTCTCTTTCTTTTTGCATGCATTCTTTCTTAGTAGTAAACAGTAAGCATAGATTAAACACACTCATAAGATAGACAACAAGAGTGGATACCGTAGAGTACTACGGACGTCTGGGGTGCTAATACCTTCCCCCCGCGTAACAGACTCCCTTATCCGATCTCTCGGTCGTTCGACCTTGATTTTACCCTTCTCAAGTTTACTCGATGTTTACCTTCCCTTCCTGTGAGATAAAAAACGTTCGATGGCGACTTCATTGATTTCATTATTAATTGATTGTTCAGCCGGTTGTTTCAATACTAATAATAATAATTTTAACAAAAAGGAATCATTGGTTAGTAAACAAAAGTTAAAAATATTGTAACTAAAAATGCAAAAAGAAAAGGTTTAAAAATAAAATAATTTAAATTTAATAATAATTCAATTTAAAAAAAAATTAATTTGAATTAAAATCACAATTTAAACCATTTTTTTTTTGTTTATGGAACATAACAAACAAAATGTCCATAAAGTGAAATTTTGACATGAAAAGAAAAAAAATTAATAATAATAGTAATAATAATAATACTAAAAAGAGAAAATGTTGTAATTAATAAAATGCCAATGAAAATAAGAGAAAGAAGAATGATTTTAATTTTAATTATAACTCAAATTTTAAATTGAATTAAAATCAAAAATCAAATCAAATCAATTATTGATATAAAAAGATGATTTTTAAAGGACCAAATCAAATTTAAAATTGAATTAAAATCAAAATCAAATAAAATCAATTATTGGAATAAAAAGATAATTTTTTAAAAGACCAAATTGAATCCTATACTGAATCTTTGTTAGAAATTTAATTAAAATTGAATATGGTTATAATTTGAAAATCTAAATTAATTTTAAAGACAAAATATCAAAGTTAATTAGATTATTAAATCAAAATGATTAAATAGCCCATAATTAGAAATTATGGATTACTAGTAAGATTATTTTAATCCAAAAAACTTTGACTAAAACAAATTAAAATGTAAATCACAAATTAAATATTTTTTTGAGATTTTTTCATGAACGAAATGCAATTAAAATAAAATGATGCTTACTATTTTTTTTTTAATGATTTTTTGAGATAATGATGAAAAATATAAATTTAAATGAATTAAACAAAGACTTTGATTTTTTTTTTTTCGAAATAAAAATTTGAAAGAATGAATTAAAAATAGGAAATATGCAAAGAAAATGTGTTATATGCAAAAAAATTATGGACAAAATTTATGGTGCAACAATGATATGTGACACAAAAATAATTTATTATTTTTTATAGTTTTCAAGGAACATATTTATAAACTTGCAAATATTGTAAAGGAAACAATACCCTTTTTAAAATAGCCAGAAAAAACTTCATTTCATTAATCACATAAGGATTATATTTGAAGTATACTTTCAAAAGATCCTAAAAATAGAAGAGCAAAACAGATAAATCTTTGGGTCCTAAGGAGTCCTATCTGAAGAACTAAATCCTCCTCGCAACTCTAGCCTGTTGATCTTCTCTTTGTAAAAATGTTCCATCTTCGTCTTCTCCTTGACCAACAAACCAACAACTCTCTTCCAAGCATCGGGAGTGGGACCAACATCTACTAAATCTTCTTGTTTCCTTTTCCTCTCCTTAGCACACTATTTGAGCAAAGCGTCCTTTCGACGAAACTTCTCATCTTGTTCCACAAGGCAACCATCTTGAAGAAAAAGTATATCCTCATTGTCCTTCAACTGTCTATTCAAATCCCTTTTTCATACTCGGAGATATAATATTTTTCTTCCTAGTCAACGTTTCTTGATACTCCTCCATGTTCTCAATGAGAATGGTGAAAGACGAATGTGTGACTGCCGGTTGAAAAGACTTTTTAAGAGAATAAGGTATTTTGAGTTTGCAAGCCCTATCATGGACCCACTGAGTAAAGGGTTCAAAAGCAGTGCAATGTTTCTTTCCTAACCAATCTTTACCCTTCCTATGAATCTTCCGCCAAGCATCCACAATTTCTTCTTTCGAGTCTAGATTATCCTCCTCATCAAGGTAAAAGAAACCTGACAACCTAATATTATTAGGTTTTTTCTTCATCGGGTATCCAAATTAGCGCCTAGCAAGAATAGGGTTATAATTGATTCCTCCATTTATACCAAGAAGAGGTATGTTAGGAAAACCACCATAAATGTTAATGATCATTCCCTTGTCATAAAATGGGATATACCAAGTTAAATCCGCTTGAGTAATGGACATAAGCCTTTGGGACCACCTGAACTTGTTTGGGTTATCTTTGAAGAGATGAGACTGCGGCAAGTGCGAACTAAACCACTTGTACAACAAAGGGGCACAACATGTGATAATTCCATATCCGTTTTGAGCTATGTGATGAATACAGTGGTAGGCATCTCCAAGCAAAGTAGGCCTTAGGTTACCGATCAAGAATATCTAAATAGCATCAACATCAAAACAATGGTCAATGTTTGGGAAGAATACAAGACCATAAATAAGTAGAGCAAGAATTGCCTCAAAATTATCCCTACTATTTGCTTTTCCCAAGACAAAAGTCTTTTCCATCAAAAATTTGGAAGTCAAACCTTTGAAACCTTTTCGACAGTGAGATTTGCTTTTACCTCAGACACCTCTAAGTGAAGAACTTTAGCAATAACATGGGGCTCGGGGACCTCTTCAAAACACTGAAAGGAAAAATATTTGTTACTAGCAAATTAATTCAAAAAGTGTACTCTTCTAAGGTAGGGACCAACTGATAATCGGTAAACGTGAAGCAATGGTAAATGGGATTATAGAAATGAACAAGAGTCTCAAGAATCCCATGGACACCTTAACTTGGAGAATACTCAAAAGCCTCCCAGAATGTTTCTGAAATCTTCATGATTAACAACCAAATACCCTAGCTTTCTTAACTCTTCTAAATTAGGCCTCTTGAAATCGTACTTCTTAGTGTTCCTCTTTCTGATATCCATGATCTCAAGTCCTATTTATATTTGCAATGAGAAATTATAAGTTCCTTGAAAACCAAGTGAAAAAATATTTTTATGAATGCATGAATGTATGGTGTATGCAATAATCAATAAACATGGTTCAAGGGTTTAACATTACGAGCATGGAGCTAAAGGTAAGAACCACCCCACAAGTTATGTACTATGGGTTCATTATACCTGTATAACAAGGTTCTAAAAGTTCTCGGAGTCGTGATTCCTCTTTCGGATATTACTAGTTCACACAACTACTTGTCAGTACT